GTTTTCTAGCTCTCGGAGTTTGACATATCTGGGTATTGGTGTGTGAATCCCTCAGCAAACTCTGGTTCCAACTTTGATTTTTATTTTGAAAGGAGTCTTAATGATCAGATTAGTCCAGCTCAGCTTTGCACACCTCCTCCTTCCCTCCCCTTCTTTATCTTGGCGCTCTCTGTCTTTATTTCTCCTCAAAACAGATGCCTGGACATTCTTTGTTTCCCAACAAAAGCGTGATGAGGTCAGAGCAGGGCGGACATGCAGGCAAGGTTTGAGAGGAGGAGGAGGAACAGGGAAGAAGGGTTTGTCACAGGTCCCAAGCAGGGGAAATATTACTTCTTGTTTGCATTGCATAATATTCTGCTTGGATTTAAAGCTCCTTTTAGATTTATAAGCAATCCTTCAATCTTTTAAATAATTGATTCTAGATAATAATGTATGTCCCAAATAATTAAATACAAGAATTAAACATCTTTATGGTTCTATGTTTTGAGTGGCTTTTTATTGGATTTTAAATTATCTGTATTTGGAAAAAAAGTGAACCTAAACAGTCTCACACAATCTCACGTTTCACCCTAACTTCCACTGTGTTTTATTACTGCCCTCTAGTGGTGGTTCACATATTTTCTGTGAAAGTCCTTGGAAAAATCCATTCTAAGAGATGTTTGATCCTGTTATTATGGGAACTATTTTTAATTCAAATTCTTTATATCCAATGTTGGTTGAATACAAATCTACAGAGGTCAGGGTTGAGGAGAGCAACAATAACGATAAAAAAAACAAGCTGTACAAGAATATGACCCATCAACAACTCTCAGCTCTGAGAAAAACAAAAGTCGACACAGTATTCTAGTTCACATATTGGTAAAAAGAAAATCTGGCCTTTGATACTACTTTTGATTTATTACTAAGCAGTGGTGAGGCCATCTTAATTCTAGAATTGGTGAAAACATCCACACCTTAGGTAAGATAATATATTAACCAGACCAGAACTTGTGTTCAAAGTTGGTAGAAGACTTTGCAAACCCACAGAAAGAAGTACTCTGGCCAGATGAGATATAAACTGAACGCTTATATGTGTCTTGGAAAACTGCAAATCCCCCTCAACCTAAAGGTTTGCAGAACGCATTATGCTGTTGCAATACTTTTCCTCAGCTAGCTGGTTAAAGTTGAGAATGGTGGAACTAAATAGAGGACAGCACTGGTTTTAAAAGGCCATAAGAGCAGCACAGAGCATCCTCTGGTTTGACCTACCAGCCATCAGTCACACAGGGGAAGATTTACCATTAGGCAATACTAGGCAGTTGCCTCATAAAACTTTGTTTGGTTTATGTATGGTTAATAAAACTATTCATTATTTGTGGACATTAAATATGTTTAAAATTCCTTTCACTAAAATGCCATCAGAAACCTTATAATATTAGGTGTGTCTTTGTATTTGGTGACTTGTCAGACCCCATTAGCACTTTTATTTCAAAAAAGCGCCTAGTGCAAAATCTAGCTACTCGATATTTTGGCGACAACAAATAAAAGCACCAAACTCTTCTCTCCGGAGCAAGTAGATTGGTAACCCCGCCTCCTGCTCTCCTCTATCTTGTCTGCTGTCATGATTCATGCAGCTATTATTTCATTCAAATGAAAAATGGAGAACAGATAAGCCGATGATTGCTTGTCTACAGTGAAGAGAATGAATGTGTTATTTACTTTTGCTGTTGCCTTTTGGAAACACAGGAAGGAGCAATCAGCTAAGTGAGCTTAGTGGTGGGAAAAAACCTTTAACTCCTTTTGAGACAGCATGAAAAGTAAGCTGAGTACATTGCCAATATAAAAAGAAAAAGGGACAAAAGAAAACATAGAGAGGAAAACAATAAGAAAAAGAACAGAGGGACAAAAGGTTAAACAAATAATGTATGTCTATGCTATTAAACTTTCTGTATCTGTATAATGTGTCTATTTTACAAGCTGTCTTCTCAATTTAGAGGACCCGATGCCTGTCTTTCCTTAGGGCCCCAAATTTCCTAAATCCGCCCCTGCTGTCACATGTGATGAGATGAGACTATAATAGGACAAACAGCATACTTTTAACAATAGCAAATAATTATGTAACATTATGGCTGAGTTGGGCTGCAGGGTCGTGTATCACCTCATGCCTAATGAGGAGCGGAGAAATATCTTTAGCTTCCTCATTAGTCTACATGTTAGTTTGTTTTTTTTAACACTAACTGTTGACACTGATTAGAAACCCTGTTACAACTTAACTGACCATATTATTATTCCAAGAGTTTAAGTGAAGTGTTATTATATTCTGATTAAGAAGATTTTTCTCAATTTCTAAAACAGTGATACCCCCTTAAAAACCTGCTGAACTGAATGGGTTACATCACAGCATACATTGGAGAAAAACAAATGATTTATATCCACTGTTCAATACTTACATTTACTTATTTTACTTATAATACTCACGTTTCCAGCTCTTTTATTTACTTGTTTATTTATTCTTGCACATACTGACTTGTTTGATTTATCCTTTAAAGTTTCTGACTTCCTCTGTTGTTCGATTTCCCTCACTTAGAACTTGCTTGTAACTTTTCCTCCCACATAGATGCAGACTCTTCAGTGCCCCCTACACTTCTTCACTACTATCCCACTTTATTTTTGCTCAATTTCTGACTTATATTTACTCATTTTGCAAATATATTCATTGTGTTTGCCACACTGTTACAATGCTTGGAAACATTATCCATTGCATTTAGAAAGTTTTCACATTGCTACACATTTTCCAAATTTAGTTAGGTTGCAGCCTTATCGTTCATTTAATTTCTTTTCTTAACATTAGACACACAGTACCATCATTTTGAAAATGTAAAAAACATATTTTAGAGATTGTTAGAAATCTATTAAGAATATTAAAAATTTTAAATTTACATAAGTATTCATAGCCTTTGCTTAATCCTTTTTTGATCAACGTTTGTAGCAACTACAGCCTGAAGTCCTTTTGAATATTATGCCATTTCATGCCACTTTAGCAGACCTATCATAAGGTAGTTTGGTCCATTCTCCTTCGTATTGCATCTCAAACTTGTTTTGGACTTAAGACAAATACGTAGTTGAATTCAATGTCTAGACTCAGGCCTGGTCACTCCAGGATATTGACAAAAGGGTTCTGAAGCCACTCCTTTAAGATCTTGGCTGTGTTTGTCCAGGATGTCTCTACTTTCCTGCACTGATTTTACCACTGTTATGACTGGTCTGCCATTTCTAGCTGCTAAAAAAAAAAAAAAGAAGACCATAGCATGATGCTGCCACCACTGTGCTATAATGTAGGGGTGGCATTAGCCTGTTAATTCGTTTTAACCAGGGTTGGCGGATGGGTTGGCCAGTCACCTTGCTATAGTAGGTAGGTACTGATTAATGATGGATGGATGGATGGATGGATGGATGGATGGATGGATGGATGGATGGATGGATGGATGGATGGATGGATGGATGGATGGATGGATGGATGGATGGATGGATGGATGGATGGATGGATGGATAAATATACAAATAGAGAGATGAATGGATAGAGAGTTGTTTTAACAGTTTTTTTTTAAAACTTCTTTAAACTCAGAATGTCCTTGATTTCTCTGCTCTGAAAAGCTTATTGATGTGAAAAATATCATTTTTTGTCACATGTTCTGGCTTCTGCAGTACACTGACAAAGAGCTTGGTTATGTCCTTCAGCATTCATTGTGATCCCTTCACTCTGAAATGTCTCTTTTCATCTAGTCTTGTTCTATTTCATGAGTACAGCCCCTTCAGCAAGAAAGTTGTGACACTGTGTAAATAGAAATTAAGCTTTGCAAAGTATTCTTAACTCTTTATGGAGGCTAAATTCATGATCTATACTAAAGATTTGAGAAAATACACTTTTCAAAATGCCAGAATCAATGGCATGCTTTACTCTCTGAGTCAACTTACATTTGTTGCCAATTTGTGTGTGAAGGATTTCAAACAACATTCATATATTTTGCCCAGAAAACAAATAGTCTGCAGAAAAATCATTTTCAAATCACATTTTGTGAGAGTTACAAAGGAGAACTGGAAAAAAGTGTGTGGGTGGTAATCTTGCTGCAGTCCAGTTATTTATCAGCTTGTTGAGTGTCAAGCATCATGCATAAGAAAAACAACTTTATTTAGTAACAAAAGGAAACCTCTGTTAAGAAAACAGATCATGGGGAGTGTGTTTAACAATATACTGAAAATCTAATAAATTAACACGTTTGTTTTAATATTTCACAGACAACATTCACAGAATTTCAACTTCTCTCAACATTCAGTTGCAAAAATTTTTCATAATATCATGTTAAAGCTAGTAGTGCAACAAAGGAGTCATTCAATCTCAGGCTTGGTGAATCACAGAGCAGCCAGTCGTGATAATATAATATAAGGGGGCTTATGCAGAGGCAGAACTCAAGAGCCATAAATCTTTCAAAGCGCTTTTATTAGGGTGCAGTGGTGCTTGTTTGAAATTATCCATGTGATTCTAATATGTTCTCCAACAGTTAAATGTCATAACCAATGGGAAACAACAAGGTAATAGAAAAGCAAAGGATGTTTGTCACCAAATCACGATTGCAGGATGGATGAGAGCATTGTAATCACTCTGAGCACTTCACAACCCACAGTGCAATATCTGCAGGGATTTGGAGCTATTAGACTTCTCTGCATCCATCAGAGTAAAAGCTATCCAATTATCCAAACTGAAACAGGAAAACATCTGCATGTTTGATGCTAAAAAAAAAGTAGAGTGCGTTCAATTATAGGACTGTACCGGTCATGATAATTTACATCTTGGAGTGTTTGTTTCAGAACAAACTGTTCATATGCAAAATCTAACCCTGATTGGATCTGAACTCATTTGGTGTCCTGTCTACCTGTATTTCTAGATGTATCTGGGTATATTTTTCCTCCAAAGTGATGTTTTTTTTTCATAGGACATTATGGAGGTGATTCGTGCTTCTATAAAAGGCATACTTTATGAATCAGAGCGATGACGCAGAAACTGCATGCGCCCTCAGCGGGGGTATAAGAGATGGCACTCAGCTCTGTTGCATCGCACATATAAAGGAGAAGTGGAAACAGATCTACTGATTAGACTAATAGCTTCTCGGTAACACGATCCAAAGGGATGAACTCAACAGAGAAGTTCTACTTTCCCGTTGATGGCATCCTCGAAGTGTTCAACTCTTTTACCGGGCATCCCCAGCCACGAATTGCGCACCAAGCTCTGCAGAGCGCAGCTCTCATCCCGCGATTTCAGCCACCCAAAGTATCACACATAACTAAAACAGGCATGGGTATATTTAAAACTGTCAAAGGGTGCTGGAGACGGCAGGATAAGAGAGTGGTCTCCAGGAGATCTTTAAATTCTGGGCATCGGCAGATGTCGACTGATCGCCTCCCTAAAAAGCCGGTGGACCTGACAGAGTTGGGCGCTATGCAGCCTAAGAACTGCCACAGAATTGTAGTACTCGGGGCGCCAAGAGTGGGTAAAACCAACATCCTCCGGCGGTTCTTGGGAGAAGAATATGAAGAACAATACGAGCCAACTACTGAAGACTTTTACCGCAAGATGTTTCACATTGGAGGGGAAACATACCAGATCGACCTACTAGATGCGGCATCAGAGAGGGACTTCCCAGCAAAACGGAGACTGTCCATATTGACAGGTAAGAATGTTTAATAAAGTCAGTTTTTCCACCAAAGAATATATTGACGCCCTTTGATTAAACCATAATCAATCGGTTTGTCTCTACAGGTGATATTTTTGTCCTTGTCTTCAGCTTGGATGACAGAGACTCTTTGAATGAAGTCCGCGAGTTGCTCAACGAAATTAAAGAAGCCAAGTCAAAATTACAAAAGTCCAACCATCTGGCTAGATTTCCAGCTGTGGTGTGTGCCAATAAAGCGGACCTTGACGCACAGAGAGTCATCAGCACCTTAGAAGTGATGGACATCCTCGGCGAGGACGCGCCTTTCTTTGAGATCTCCGCTAAAACAGGCGCCGGACTGGAGAGTACCTTTGCGGCTCTCGCCGCGCTCGGCGGGCTTCCTAATGAAATTAGCCCCTCTCTGCATCAGATCGTTCCCATCCTGACCTACCAGTCGATGTGCATTGGCAAGAGGGGCATGAGGAGGGGGAGGCACACGCGGGGACTCGGTGCTCCCTGCGCCGCAGTGGATCCCCTTGCGCAACGCCCGAGCTTCACCAGCGACCTGCGGCTGGTGCTTGGATCAAGCACCAAACACAAGAAACCCGAGAAGTGTCAGATTCAATGAATTTTGAAACTTCCCGACAAAACAAAATTGTAGTAGTATGCTGCAATGTCTTACATGTATGGAGTTATACTCCGTGGCACCTGGCCGGACCGGTGCGTTAAAGCGTGTTGTTTTTTCTATTGTATTCTGTAACTGCATCATTTAATAAACGTTTGTTTATATTCTTGTGCTTGATTCTTGACCATAATCAAATTTTCAGTCCGTTAAAATAAGAATATGAGAAAAAAGGCAGATAGCCTACTTAATGGTTATGAAGTGATGATGTAAAACCCATAGTGTGGGAGGGCGATCATCTGCGAGAGAGGATGACTCAAAACGTCTTCAAGAGCGGACTCAAGAGATTGTTCACAAATTCAGATCGCCCACGATGCCCAGGGTTGGCAATGTGTCACAAGCAATGCTGTCTAATCAGCTGCGGTGGTTTACACACCAGAAACGTGCGTAAGGCATCCTTTTATAAGCAGAGGAGGACAGAAGAGGAGAGCTACGATGAGTTCAGCACCATGGAGAGAGCCCACTTTGAAGCCAGAGGGCAAATGATTTTCATCCACTTCCTGTATCGGTCATATCTCAAAGCTCCTATATTATTTATTCATTTTGAGCAAAAGTATATTTTACAAATGTACTTATGAACCCTCTAAAATATTTTTAAAATATATAAATTGGCTTTATAAAAATTAGCAATTTGAATACCCTTTTATTATATTCACATCGCGGAACAGCTCGAGGGCTCTTCTTTTAATGGGATTCTATCAGAGGAAGATGGTTTAGAGGCTTTCACGAAAGCTGATTCATAAATCCAGGATGATAAGTGCATGCTAGCTTTGTACTTTTAGTAAAGTCCATAAGAAGACTTGGTAAGTAGGAATAAGTCAAGTCAGATGTAGGTAATTAAACTAAATGTAGATTTGATATATCAAATTCCTATAGCCTAAAATAAACATTTCCTAATTTTTCTCAACTGAAAACATCATAATTCAAGGAGTTAGAGTCTTGACTATGCTATGACTTTCTGGGCTAAGTTATGTTTCACATGGGTTTTGGAATGAAGTTTCAAATGTACATGGGGGGCACCTGACCTTAAAATGTGTCTGGAACAATTTAGCCAATTACTTGGGAACCTCTATAAATCAGGACTAATGGAGGTTTTTCATTTAAGCCACTGAAGGAATGCATCTATATATGTTGGTCTCAACAAAGATTTCAAAACAGAACATTCAACCTGAGGTACACGTAAGTTCACTCTTAGAAGAGAATAAAACTTTGTCATTACACTGTCACGAGTACAAAGCAATGAAATTCAATCTCTGCACTTAACCCATCCCCTTGGGGAGCAGTGAGCTGCCATTGTGCGGTGACTGTGGTCTTGCTCAGGGACCCAGAGTCCATGCTGTGGGGATCGAATCAGGTTCTCAGTTCACAAGCGCACAACTCTAAGCACTAGCTTTTTAGCAGAGATTATTCCATTGTTGTTTTTATGTTATGGTTTTTTCAGATTGGAGAGATAATTAAATTATATCTGACAGTTTAATAGTAATGGAAAGTCACAAAATACCACCTAAGATGGCTTCTTGAAAAGCAAAAGTCGTATTTCTTCTAAGCAAAATGAAAAAGGACACGATAAATATATTTCCCCTGGGGACCCATTTATAACAATCTAAGCATGCTAAAGATGGCTTTTAGGATTCAGAAGAGGCGGGACAACCCTGATATTAATGTGGGGAATATTTGAAAAGACCACAGTGGTCACTGACAAAAAAGGAATGTTTATGCTCCATCAGGTACAAACTGTGGGTTTATGGACAAAGGCAAAGGGGTATGATCATTTCAGACTTGACCCCCACAATCACAAAATAACAGTATGGTTAAAGGCGTAAGAAAGATAACGAGAGAAATGAGCATCTGTGATAAATTATAGTTTAACCCAGCATTAAGAGATTATACCTTTCATTCTTCACTGGACTGATTACTTATCCACGTAAAGATATCCATAACCTAACGCTAACATTGGTAGGTCATGTAAAATTGGAATAATGGACCTTTAAGACTATAGCCCAGTGTCCTTGGATTTAAATTAAAAAAATAGAAATACCCTCTCCTGGAAACTTCATGTCTTCCAGGAAAACATGAAGCAGGAAATTAAAGAGGAAACTCAATTTGTCTGAAAATTTCAAAGGGATGTGTCCCAGTCCTTGCTTTGTGACGCAGGTAAGGTGGTCCTGAGGAAAGATAATTTTTAAATCCTCTCTATCTAGGAGGCTCAGAGAGGAGAAGCTTCACTCTTGGAGTTGACATGGCTTTCAGCTGCTAAAAGAGCCCCTCAGCATAGCATCATGACCATTTCTTCATATGTTTGCAGGTTAATTTTCGTGATCTATTGATCAATGTTCTGTAAGATGTTTAAAACTTTTAAACATCTTACAGAAATAAAATTTTTAATGTCTTAATTTTATTCTTAAATAAAATTAAGACATTAATTTTACAAAACTAAGGAACACAGTATAAATAAGGCGTTTTAATACATAAAGTTGTGTTTAACAACTATTATTTACTCCACAGTGCCAGGCACAGCATATGAACAACAAAAGTCACATTCAGAGGAATTTATTATATTATTTGCAGCTTTACCAATAAGCTGCTAAATTACAAAAAGTTCCCAAATTCACACTGCTTAGAAAATACAATATAAACAACTTAAAAAAAGAAATCATTAAGAACTCTTGAATGCTTTTTAATTGACATTTTTATCCTGCTAAACCCACACGTAAGCTTACAAAACATTATTAGTAAAAGAAAAAAAAGAAAAATATTCCAGTACTTGTGAAAACAAGTTGTAATAAAAGAAATCTCTTAAATAAATACTTTATTAATTTACACATACTGGCATCGACCGACAAGCTTTTTTTTTTTTTTTTTTTTTAAACATCCAAATTCTTCCCTTTTTTCTCAGTTATGATAAAACAAATAAAAAAAAAAAACTTCATTCTCAGTTAGCTGGCACTTTTGGGAAAAATCTGCCTGTCAAGTTCCACCAGCAAGATGGGAAGTATGCTGTCCAGTAGGGCCAGACCTTTCCAGGAACATCGCAAACCCCTGAATAGCAAACAATAATAAAATAAATATGCTTCTTTTTGTTTTCTTATGCAACCAAGTACATCCCAAACAACGTTAAAATGAAAATGTTAATTAAACTTTAAATAAATTACAGCTGCATGCATGCAAATCAACATGTCAGAAAAAAAAAACAAAGACCTTAAATTACCTATCATCGAGAATCAGCTGTCCACTCTGCTGAAGCTCTTGGAAATTAAGAGATGCACCAAAGATTTCATGAAGACTTAATTCAGGGCTGAACAGCTCCCAGTTCTGTAAATAGTGACAAACTTGAGCAAAATCATTTTCAGATTTTGCAACAACGACTGACTATTCAACCTTCTCCTCACTGACAGACGCATTCACACAGAAAGCAAAACATCTATTGTAAAAGCTTCACCTTGTGATTAATGCCCTTGGTCATTCTCATCCCCATCACCAACACCTCCTCCAATCTGCAAAACAAAATCATTCAGAAGTAACAAGGACACGTCTCAGTATAGCTTTTTTCTCACATGGGCAGAATGTTCCAGAGAACAAGCACATGCCATTCACAGAGAGCTCGAAACACTGCCGCTCACACTCTCTGTAGCCTCATTTCACATGGGAAACTGCAATAATGTGTTGTCTTGTGTGAGGAACAGAAATAATCCTGACAAGACAAAACGCTGCTGCCTGTAAGTGGAACAGCTCACAGTTCAAGATGGCCCAGCTGGATCCGCCTCCGTGTCCCATGCCCCCTCTGCTGGACTTCACGGATCCACACGTCAGGCTCCAGGGTCTGAGTCCGGGCTTCACGTGCAACACCTCCCTCCCCCAGGGGGACAAACCGTCCGTGCGCTCCTGTTTCAGACCACAAAACAAATATGATTTCAAAAGTACAGCCAACATGCACCAGAGGTTCTGATCTTGCTTAAATTACCTGGGCCAACGCCGATGTACTGTTCTCCCTTCCAGTAGCTCAGGTTGTGACGACTCTCTGAATTCTGTCGAACACAAAGAAAAGAGTTACATTTGCTGCTGTGAGCAAGAATAGAATAAATCTAATTAAAAAGAAGTACATAGTTGTAGATCCTTCTAGAACTTCAGCCTGGCTCTTCCCATCTATGCCATCATTTTATATAAAGAATAAAACATTTTCTAAGGTGGTTTTACACAATCAATCATGGATGTAAGAAGGAAAATGTGAAATATGCATATCCACAAGTTACTAATGAAAGAAATGGGGCATAAAAAGAGAAAAGGGATATTGATAAAAAAGCAAGGCAGAGTGACAAAAGATTTTGTCACTCTGCTGTAGAGTTTCATGTTCCAATCATCTGGTCAAAACTGAATGTGTTTAAATGACCACTTAATGGAAAAGGTTAAAAATACAAAAAACAACAACAAAAACCAATCACATTCACTTTAAATACACTTTGCAGCTTGTGTATTCTTGACTACTCCTACATGCTAACAAATTAGAAATCAACAAAGATTTGCAGGAAAAGTAAATCACCCAAACATTTCGTTTATGCATTTTTTTTTGTGCAACAAACCACAACATTGTAGTTTTGTTTCAAACAGAAGTGTGTCTGCAATTTTCAAACTCTCTGATTTTAACTTATATTAAAGCTACAGTGTGTAATTTTAAGCAGCCTCTAAACAGAAGCCATCATGGCACAAAATAGCTTCCACTACGCACGCTTTTTAGCTTTCTTGTCAAGTGATGACAGGTTTGTTTACATTAGAGATGCACAGATCGGGATTTTGGGAATCTATTACCAAAAATCAGTATCTGTTGATCAATGATTCAAGCATCAAATCCACACATTTTTCAATACTGTTGTCTCAGGTACCTTAACATTGTACTATTGAGTATAAAAATCAGGAGATGAGAAAGCGTTATAAATTGACCACAATTTTAGTGAAGAAGGCAGTGGAGACAAGCTTTATTCAATTAACGTTGAAGATAGAGAAAATAATGTTGACAAAGAACGAAGTGGGTAGGGCTCTTAAGGACTCTACAATACGCCACTACAACGGCAAGAACTTGTGCAAAGTATAATGTGCAATTACTATTTGATAC